ATCACTTCCAACATATGTTAATGGACCAGCTATTACTAAATATTGTAATAACAATACAAAGAATGATAAAATTAAAGGTAATTTAGAAATTTTAATAGATTACCTTATTTCTTTTAATTCATTACCCATATTTTTAATCTCCTTTTTCGATTCTTTAATTTTATTCTTTGCTAATAGTTCTTCCTTTCCAATCAAATTAAATTTATACAAATGGATTAATTCTGATCCTTATTTTAAACTTTGAAGAATAAATTATTGTCTACTTTAATCAGCATCAAGTTCTATCTATTCTATATGTGTATTTAGATCAAAGAATTTCTCTAAGAAATGGTTGAAATAATTGTAATAATACCCAAGAAGAATCATAGAGATTAATACTGCAATTGATATTGGAATAACCATTATTATCCATCTCTATACAACCAAATCAATTTTTTATACAGATTCTTAATACATTTAATCAGATATATTGTCAAAGACAGTTACAAATAAGATATAGTTCTTATATTAATATGTATTATGTGGATTTGTACCTCTAGTTGTTTAAGGTTTTATATAAATTTATTCTTATTTGTAAAAAGCATCAAGTAAGATACTAAATGCATTAAATAAAGTCATATTATATTCTTGTAATTTAATAGGAGCATAATGATGTATTTACTATTAAATAATAACATATTCATCTTTGATAAATTCAGATAATGTTTTATCTTAAAAATGATCCTAAAAGTTCAGTTTGAATTCATCATATGATCCAATCAATAAAGGATTAATAAATTTTAAATAATAATTAAGTCTATCTCTAGTTATACTTTAATATAAGTTTAACATTTAGTAATCTTAAAGCATGTAACGAGTCAAAAAGAATTTCTACATTGGTTCTATAAAATAATGATTGATTTAGATTGATTCGTAATAATAATTTAGTGAATAAAAATCTTTTTTTGAAAATGAAATATTCTAATATAAACCAAATAATTACAATTGATAGAAATATGACTTAATTGATAAGTGCAAAAAATAGATATCCAAATAATTTATTTAATAAAGGTATAACTGGAGTTTATTCATTAAGTTAATTAACAAGAGTGTATTTTCTATAATAAACAGATTTTCTCAATCCAGCCATTGAAGATGCTTAAGAACCTTCTAAAACAAAGTTCTCTTAATTCCTTATATCATTGTCATAAACATTTCCTAACATTTTTATTGTTTTATTATCTAAATCTATAACATTTGATTCACTATAATGATGTATTTTTATTTTCTCTTAATCAATTTATTCTAAATTCTTTTCTTCTAATTCACTTAAAATTCTAACATCAGTTTTCCTTTAAGTTTGAATAATTATATTTGAAGATGGTTCATTTAGAATTGAATTCTCATAAGGAAGAACAATAGATTCTTCTTCATTAATAGGTAAATGATTATTTTAAGTATATTATAAATCAACAGATGATGCTAGATTCATTTTTTTATTTTCTAATATCTTTTTTAGTTTTATTATTTTATAATTATTTCTTCTTAAAACTTCACAACTTACTTCAAATGCTGATAATTTCTATTAATTTTTTAAAATAGTAATTTTTTATGTATTAGTAGAAAATTCTTATGAAAAAAATGAATCTTTAGGAAAATAAAATTAAAATGAATACTAAGATTATGTTCCATTTAATATATCATTATTAATAAATAAATCTGCTGTTAAATTATATAATGATTTTTCTATAGATAATTATTCTATAATTTTTGGATGGAAATTTAACTTTTTAAATAATTCTTTATTTATTCCTTAAATTTTATTCGTTTAATCAATTAAAATCGTTGGATCTGCTTATTCTTAACAACTTATAAAAGTTATAAAACGAAATGATTAATTATTATCAAAATAGAGATCAAAAAAGAATTCTATATTTTATATATATCCTGATTTAAGTTAACAAAAATTAAAACCTACTTATCTAAAATAATTCCCTTTTCCATTATATAAAAAATCTGCTATATATTAATCATGTATATCTCTTACTACTTATGGAATTAATGGATCAGGTGTATTTATTAATTCAAATTATTTTTATTAGAAACCAAAGATATTTGGTGCCTTTTTAGAATATGAAATAATTTTAAGTTTTCTATCATCATAAGAATAAATTAAATATGCCATTTTATTTGCTAATCTATTAAAATCAACATCTGCTACAATACTTAATAAAGAATTATCAATAGCATTAATTTATAATTAATCAAATGCTTTTTTCCAATCATATTTGATTTCAGCATAAAAAAACATTAATTAAGATTAATTTCTTTGACTTGGAAATGACTCATAAATAGATTTTAATATTTTTTCTTATTTTTCAATACTTTCCATTAAATCATAATATTAAGATGTAAAATCAATCTTATTCTACTATTTAACTAGTAATTATTATAATTATAATTTTTATTGTATAATATCAATTAAACCATCTTTAATACTTTGATTAAAACTTTCAGATTAAACAAATTAATTGATCTTTAAAGATAATTTTGTTTTATCAGAATGATTACCATCTAATTTAGAATTTAAACTAATATATAAATTTTATTTGATCATCATAATAAAGAATTTCCATTTAATTCTCTATAAATAAGATAGATTATTTAAAATTAACTTATTCTCAACTTTACTATATATTTCATAAACTTCTCCATGATATTATTGAGCATATAAAAAATGAATGAGAAAATAAAAACAATCATAGGGTTCTTAATTTTAAAGTAGTTTCTTCATTCTTTCTACTAATTGATAATAAAATTCATCTTCTATGATATCTGGAATTATAATCATTTTATTAGGATTACTTGAACATTACTCCTATATTTTACATTAACATCTAAGATTTTAACATTTCTAAGAATGTCTATATAAATATATAGAGTTGAGAATACAAGTTTATTAAAATGTATACTTCTTTTATGTTGATAATGAAGAACATATTAAATTATTCACTTCAAATAAATTTAATTTTTAATGATTTGAAGTATGCATTTAAAATTACAACTAATTATGTATATAATTGCAAATTAAAATTAGTAAGGGTGATAAAAGTATTAAAAATATCATAGGTTAATAAATCTAAGTGATTGAACATATAGCAATAACAAATCCACATGAATGAATTATTATTAATAGCAAAATTTAAGTATTATTAGAATATGCCTTATAAATATATATGGAAATGAGTTCTAAAAATGTAATTAATAAAAATATAATGGATTAACCATAATTAGCCACATTAGGAGTACTCAATATAAAAATGTATGGTTAAATCATTTGTAAGAGAAATATTATATAATCTTAAAAAGTTACTTATAATTTTTTGCATGTTCTATCCTTCAAAATCAATGTTCCTTCAAGTAGAATAAAGTAAAATACAGATATGAAATGGATGATTGTCAAATAAACAATATCGTTTATAAACCAACCATAACCCTCTTCTTTTCTTGACCTTTATAAATTATGGAGAGCTATGATTAATAAAGGTATTGAAAAAACTACAGAAATGCACATAAAAAAGAAAGTAATCATTTTTAAAATGATATTTTTTAAATTTTATTTCCTAATATTTTTTTCAATAGTATCTTTTGTATTCAAATTAGCAATTATAATAAATCCAATTCCCAAAAAAATTATCAAATTAAACGCAAATTGTATAATATTTTAAAGTGAAGGAACAGTGAATACTTAATTGATTAGATCTATAAATAATTGCATTAAAGAATAAAATCGATTTTCAACTATTTCAGATTTTAGAGCTTTAAACCCACTACTTACATCGTATGAACATGGGTATATAACTAATAATAATGAAAATAATCGTCCTAATGCATAAAATCCTGAAAGCTAAGTGATTTTAAATTGGCAGTCAAAATATCCTAGTTGTATACAAAATAATTCAATAGATAAGGCAAACATTCTAATTTATTAATAAATAATATCGATATATTTCATAATGCCTTATCAATTAAACAATATTAAAAATTGCTGATTAAAGTGAAGTTTAATTCTTTTTATTCAATTATAGATACAATAAATAACTTATTCTTTAAAATGAAGTGCAGTAATTAACTTAGACTCAATTAATAAAATATTTATTTACAGTTTTTTTCATATTATTTTAATATTAATATACACTATCAATATATCAATTAATTGTATTGATAGAAAAGAGAAGATTGTTAAAATTATTCTTACATATATATTTTATTTATAAATAATATTCCATTAATAATATATATAAAAAAGGGTAGTATTCAATAAAAATGATCATTCACAAACAAAAACATTATAATTTTTGGAAATACATTTCTACAATCTTATATTAACATACTTAAATTCAAAATAATATTTGTTAAATTTAAAAACCACAAAATTAAATAAATAATAACAAAAATTAATTATTTATAATTAAGTTAATAAAGTGTTAATTTTTGTTTCCTACTCAAATTTAATTGGGATAAAACAAACTTAGAAAACATTATATCTATTTTATATGCTTTTTTTCATTGTAAAATATACAGAATCTAAAGTAAACAATTTAATTATAATAATATTCAAAGATATTAAATGAAAATTTAAATCATCCTCTTACTATTTACTATTTTGTTATTCTATTTTTCTTGAATTAATTTAATTGACATCCAATTATAATAATTTCTCTTATTTTATGAAATACAGAATCTCAAATTGTACTTGAAGAATAAAAGTTCATTATTAATTTACAAAAGATACAAACTATTTTTATTTAGTAATAAATTTATTTTATACAATAAGATTTTTATCACAAAAATAAAAGTTGAATTAAATGATTAAATACGTAATACTTATTAGATTTTCAGAAAATACAAAGAAATTAAAAATTAATATTATAATTTATATATAGTATTATACTATTTATATAATTAATAATAATTTGATTTATAATATAAATACAAAAGAAAATAGAGTTTATAAAACATCAAATTTCCTCTGTAAAGGGATCTTTAACAGATTCAAAAGTATAAGGCATATATTTATCACCTCTAATTCTTAGATACTCATTTGCTACACCTCCTATTAAACCCAATATTCCTACTATAGGCATACATAATTTCTCTTCAAAAATCAATCTACTTTCAAGTTTATTAAAATTTCTTATATCCTAAATTGATTAAAAATTAGATACTTCAATATCCATGGCACTAAAAAATAATCCATAGATGAAACCAATAAGTGTGCTTATAAAAAGAGTGCAAATTATTTGATTTGGTGTTTCAACAAGAGTTCTTTACCAAGCTTATTAAAAGAATCCTATTACAAAATTAATGGTGTCTACAAAACCAAAAATCAATGTAAAGTTCAGTGAGACACCTAATACTATATATAATGGAATTTTAGTGTAATATCCCATGGTTTTATTCCTGAAATTATTAATAATAATAATACCAATCTCTTTCAAGACAAAAACAAATGATTCCAGAAGTGAGTACCATGATGCCAAAATATTATAAGAATTTCTTGTTTTTTTGAAGTTGACTATTTTCAGGTAAATTGTTTACTCTCATGAGTAATAAGATTCCAATAATGATAAAACATATTCCAAAATACTAAAAAAAATAAGAGTTATGTATACAGCTGAAAAAACGATATTGATGCTTATTTCTACAAGTACTGCATTACCAATAGCAGAAGCCATCAAACAGATGATTAAGCCCATTACTCCTGAGGCAGTTAGTTAAATTAATTCAATGCTCTTGAATTGACTCAAATATTGATCCATATATATATATGAATAAAATATATAAATAAATATATTGATTAATAAAAATGAAAAAAATAATAAGACCATTGATTGGTTTGATTTAGAGATCATTTTAATAAGCAGCATAACGTAATAATGATTAATTGATTATGATTAGCTGTGCCATTTGTGGGAACACAACCATTCATCATTTCAAAACATAGAAATATTATGGCATTATATGATTTGTCTCCTGAAATAGGGAGTCAACATTTCATTGCTTCAACAGCTACAATAATTGGTGATGTAGAATTAGCATCTCAATGTGTAGTTTGGTATGGTGCTGTCTTAAGAGGAGATCTCAATGGAATTAGGTAATGAATCCAAATAATTTAGAATCCTGAATCGAGTTATCATTGGAGAAAGATCAGTGTTGCACACTGCAGCATCATTACCAAATGGCATGCCAGCTGTGTTAAGTATTGGAAATAATGTTATGGTTTAAAATGATTGCACTCTCTATTCTTGTACTATTGGGGATAATTGTTTCATCGGTTATAGATCTATCATACTTGAAGGAGCCAAACTAGAAGATGGAGCAGTTTTAGCACCAGGAACAGTTGTACCACCTGGTAGATTGATTCCTAGTAATTAATTGTGGGCAGGTAATCCAGCTTAATATGTAAGAGATGTAGAGGAAGTAATAATAAATATGATATAAAAATATAGAAAGATTTGAATTAATTATCATATGTGATTGGCAATCAATTTGGTATAGCTAGAGAACATGATTATGAATATTTACCATACAATAGTGCATATTTATAGAAAGAAAATTCTCCAGAAGATTCCAATCCAGAATTGGTAGCTACATTAAGATAATATGAAGATTGGGAAGAAGGATAAGTCAAATTATGAGACAATTTATAAAACCATAAAGAAATAAAAAATAATTAATCAAATTCATTTTCTTTTGGATCTTTTTGATTGATCTACTTCTCTTAATTTCCAATAAGGATTAGTATCATTTGTTCTTGAACTACATCTACTTTTTGGTTATGATAATCTATTTATGAAATTTTTTTATAAATCTTTTAATTATGTTTAAGTGTTTTTATCTTCAAGATGAGGTTTAATTTTGAAATTAAGATCATCTAATTAAAATCTTTATGAACAATTAATATCTGAACTATTAAATGTATTTGAAATCATTTCACTTTTATTTTAAATGCTAAAATTCTAAATTTATTATTATTATTATTATTATTCATCTAAAATTAACATTATTTTTTTATATTCTAATTTAGAATTATTTAACCATTATTCTTCAGGATGAATAACTGTTTCTTTTGTTTTAAATGTTTTTGAATCAAATTGATTTCTACCATTTTTAGATGATAAAGATGATTAAGGAACATTTTAAACAAAACTCAAATTAGATCTAAAACCTATTTTTGAATTAATCATTTATAAAGGTAATGAAAGTGTATGTTCTGATTATTAATGAAGTGATTTATGTTTTAATGGTGCTTTATTAGGTAATCCAGTGGCTAAAGTTTACATTATCTTTTTCATAGGTTAAACTTAATTTCTACTGGTTGAATTGATTTTACAATCAAATTTATTTAATTAATGTTGAGATTATTATTATGATAATAATCCATTAATTTTAGATACTTAATTTCTTTTATATTCATATGGTTAAGTAGGTTTAGAATTTTGATAAATATCTTTAGAATCATCATATTCCAAACTATTTTATGAATGTAATACCATAGGAATTAGAAAAGTAGATTCCATACAAGATGGTCTTCTAGATTATAATTAATCTTCATTATTTTATTCTATAAAATTTGATGTAGAGAGTTCAAACATTTTATCATCTTTATTTAATCCTTAAAATTAAGCAGTTCCAGGAGTTTCTAATTATTTAGAATTCTTTTTAGTCAAAGCTTACCAATCACTTTCTAAAGATTCAAAAGTTATACTATTTGATATTTATTGATCTATTCTTGATTGAGTTTAAGTACAATTTTATAATATAAATTATAGAGCTTCTTCTTCTTTGCTTTCTCTTCTATTCATTTTTAAAGGTTAACATCTATCTTCATTTGATATTAATGTTCTAAAGGATTCTTCAAATGTTTTTGATCTTCTTCTGTTATTAAATTATAATGGTCTATCTTCTATTTATGGTTTATAAAATTAATCTGAATCAATTATCAGTTTCTTTTTATCATAATCTTAACATGATTATTCTGTAATTTTAACTTAACTACTTTACATTGTTGAATCTTAATGTCTTACCATATTCTTTAGAAGATCAAGTAATTGAATATGAGATTCATCATTCTCTTAAACTATTTTTGTACTACTTCTCTTTCTATGTAATTTATCTAAAGGATTTCTTACAATTGGTGTTTCTTAAAACATTTTCTATATTATATCATATTAAACAATACTTATTATATGCCATGAAACTATTTTTCTGAAGATTTCGAACATAATTTCATATCTAAATTGATTTTAGATGTAGGTCTCAATTTATTTCTACTTTCTGCACTCAATAATTTAGGAGTATTTGAATATTAATAAGGAATGTTTTCTTTGTTTTAATTAAGCATTTTTTGATAATATTAAGTAATGTTAGTTTCAGATTCATTAGCTTCAAACTGCTGATTTCCCATTAATTAACTAGCAGTTAAAAAAATATAATTAATTCTTTTTTTGGGTATTAATAATAAATAATAGAATTTTTCATTTTGATTAAAGGGATTGACTATGTTTAGAGTCTTGCTTTGATTGTTTAGAAATAAAGATTAAGATAAAAGTTTAATTAATATAAAATAATAATGGATTATAATGGTTTTTCTTTAGAGTGCTAATCAAGTTAACAACTATGCTATAACACAGTGAAAGATATGAAAAAAAAGAATTTGATAAACACATTGTGGCAAATAGTAAATAAGATGTCTAGGAAAAAAGAGAAAAAGGATAAATGGAGTGAAAGCAACGTAAGTGAGTTCTCTCAAAACATCAATAGAGGTGCATTATCATGTTTTGCTGAACTCTGTACAGAATTAGCATGCAATAATTAAATTAAGTATATACATTTACATTTATAATTAGAGAAGTCAATCTATCTAGATGTAATATTAATATTTACTATGCTATTGAATTGGCTAATTTAGTTTAAAAGAATACTAACATCTAAGTCTTAGAATTAGCTGGGTGCAATCTTAATTCATTCTCTTTGAGTTGTATTTTCAAATCAGTAACATTTACCATATGTGTAGATGATAGATCATACAGGACTTACACGTCTCAATTTATCAAACAATAAGGGTTTCACCTTTTCTTCAGTTGAAGACTTTTGTAAATATGTACTCAAAGGAAAAAACCCTCTTATTGAAATCAATTTAAGTTTTTGTAATCTTGACAATGTTTCCTTGTCTTTGATATTACCCAATCTCAAATATTTGAGGTCTTTAAAGTAAAATATACTTAATTTTTAAGGCGTTTTATCATATCTTTAGTAAAATTCAATTCTTCAGAAAGCATTTTAGCATTAAGTAGTGCAATGCTCAATTATACAGGAAATAAATCACTTGATTATTTAGATCTATCATGGAATCGTATTTAAAATCATGGATTGGAATTATTAAGTGTAGCTTTGTTTATGTCAGTTAGATAAATCAATATTAGATCATTAAATTTAGAATATAATCAATTAACTTAAGATTGTATTGAATCATTAGAAGCAATTTTATTGAAATTAAATATTGAAGAAATCAATTTATCAAAAAATAAAATCTCTGAATTTCAAAATTAGCAATTATTAAACAAAAAAATGACAAGAATAGATCTTTCATATAATAGATTTGAAGAAATTCCTAATAATTTTTTCTTAAATGTACTTTCTTTAAATCTTTCAAATAATTCCATTAAGACATAAGGAGCATATTAGATTTCTTAGGTTGTCAGTTCAAAAAAAGTTATGTGGATGGAATTGAATTTAAATAATAATGAAATTTCTACTTAAGGATTTGTATCTCTTATATATGCACTCAAAGAAAATCAAAGATTAATTAGTTTATCAGTTGCTAATAATAATATAAGTGGTGAAGGAATTTTAGTGTATGTTTTCAATCATGAATAATTAAATTTATAACATTTAGATCTTTCTTGCAATTATTTAAGGTATGATTTAGTATATGCATTAATTTCAATGATGAAAGAATGTTAATTAAAAACATTAGTACTATCTAAATTAAGATAAGATGAAAATGATATATGTAGTGGAAGAGATGAATTATTTGAAATTAAATGTACTAATTTAAGAATGCTTGATCTATCTGAAAATAGTTGTATGATTTCATCTTTACTTAATTCATTATCTCTTTAATATAATAGAGTTGAATATTTAAATCTAAATGGTTGTTAGATAAATAAGAAAGTATTGATTGAATCCTTATCTTCTTTTTTAAAAAGAACATTAAGTCTTTAAACTTTATTATTAGCTAGAAATAATTTAGGAAGTTTAGATGAATAAAGTTTCAAAATTCTTAATGATGGATTATCAAGTAATCAATCTTTAACTCATTTGGATTTATCAACAAATAAACTTAAAATAAAAATACTTAATCTTATTAATGGTTTAGCTAATTGTCGATATTTAAAGTTTTTAAATATTAGTAATAATTTAATTTATGAAACAAGAAATCTCATACATGATTTTCCAAAATTATTTCTTAATCCAAATCTATAATCAATAGATATATCTAAGAATTTAATAGGAAGTCAAACCTTATTACATACTAGAGAAATATTATTTAAATATTATCGACCTTTCCCTTAAATGAATTTATCAAAATAATAATTTACTGCAGATGATTTACATATAATTACTTAAATAATTTCAGAATGTTAATCAATAAAAAAATTAGAATTATCAGACAATGATTCACTTGATTATATGAATAATGTAATGACATATGGAGAAAATGTTAAGGTGGAATCCTTATCTATAAATAAAATCC